GGGAATTTGATTGGTGGGTTCATGGAAGGGACGAACACTTTGCATGAAACCATTGGTCATTTTTTCACAGCTTTTCACGCGATCAATCACAATATCCCCACATGTGGCCTGAGCCATGAATCACATCTAAGATCCAAGAACCTAGCCTTTGCAGTACCCCGCAGCTGCGCTTCAGATAGTTGATCATCGTCAATTTTTTAAACAGTAGATGAACATCAATGTTTTTTTTGTTAAGGTCGCATGCAGCTACAGGCTAACACTGCATCCCTGGGCAAATTTTGGAGTGTTTGGTCCGTCCTCCACTGATATGTTCCTAAGAAGGCCGGACTTCAAAAGCTAAAAGCAGGGCCTCATGGCTCTGGTGTCCAATTGAACCCTGCCCTGAACTTGGCATCGTTCCATGCTGCCAAGACTGACTCATATTTCGACCAGGTGACCTGGCCCTTCCGATTGTCAGCAGACGGGGGCATGTCAGCTGGAAGTCGCTTCACCACGAAGGCGCGATTCTTGAGAAGAACTTCAATTGCCTGGGCTGGAGTGAAAATATTCAACATGCCTTTGGAGTTGTTGTTTCTGGTTTCAAATCAACTGCATTACATGTTGATTCACAACGTGGTTTAACAGAAAAACAAATGTTTGAAAACAATTGTTTTAAAGACAGTTCAGGGTACACTTCCATTGGTGGAAGCCACTGTGTAGCCGTGGCGACCCTGGTATGATCCCTGCTCCCCTGGTCTGCACTCCAATGGAATGTTTAACTCTTGAAGGTCGTAACCCTTGAACACATTCATTGGAGATCCAAGATCCTTTTGAGGGATTGTGCTTCGGGGCTTGCCACCCAAAGCCTTCTTCTCCAGGGCCATCTTCTTAGCCTCAAAACGGGGTATGAAAACACAGAACCGGGAAAACAAAAACTGTTGCATGCTCCATCCATGTTTTCGAATGTTTTTCACCACTGTGCTCAAAATTCCCTTAAACACATGAGTGAAATCAGGGAACTGTTTGACCTCCAACAATAGTAGGCGATGTCTCCTTCAAGTGCTCTTCAATGCGAGTAGCCACGCATGGACGTTTTGGGGCAGGGGCACGTCCATCATCAGGAACATCAGAATCGGTATCTGTAACCACTGTAGCTGGCTTCACATTCATAATGGTCAGGGCACGCTTCAAGGGCCTTGCACAGTCCTGAGATGTGAAGGCATCTTCCCCAAACACCATGCAGTGCTCTTGGCTGATGTTACAACCGCAAAATGATTATATAGACAGCTTTGTCCATGTGAAGCTATATTAATTTAACCCTGCTTGGCTGACACAAAAAATGATCCAAATCATCCCAGCTACAGCAGCTGCATTGCGAGCAGGAATTGGGACCACTTTGCCAAAGTCCTGCGTGTGGCCAGGACTTGCGAGGGATGGTGGGAGTTCAGTGGGTCGGTGAAACTACACTGGATTCTTTTTTAAGTAAACCACCACCTTTTAGTGCTGGCTCTGCTTTAGTTATTTTAAAACATACTAAGTTACTATGGCTGGCTGATAACCCAGGTCCTGGGTCTGAGACTTGCGCTTTACAAGCCACCTCTTGTAGAACTCGTAGTTGGCCAAACTGCCTGATGACCGGTTCAAAGAAGAAGAAACAGTGGTAAGCCGGCATTGCTTTAGTAACTTTAGCTTGAGCTACAGACCATGACAGGTGGAAGGTGTTGTGGCTTGTAAACAAAATCATAAAGTGCATTGACCAATGGCAAGCCAAACTACCATACGCGTACTCACCATGGTTCTCCAAGGCAGAAAGGCAATACTCCTGGAAGGGGGCCCACTCACCTTCACCAAATTCGTCGCCCATTTCTCGCTCAAGATCAGCCTTGATGTGCTCCACAAGCATGCGAAACTTCTGATCTCGGTGCGCTCGATGCTGTTGCTTCTCCTCACGCGCCTGCTCTTCGCGATCCTACAGCTGGTTTCGAATACAGGAATGGGAAACAAACCAGAATTCAAAACCAAACGTGCCCAATACAAACTCAAGAAAGGTATTGTGCGAAATGAAATCTTGAGGACAAAGTAAAAACATTGAAAACCGCCAAAACAAATATTGGGCATCCATTGCGTTCCCGGCCATGTATGCTCGACCAAGCCAGCCATCGCTGACTTGCGAATCCCCCACCACGCCACTCTCACTCTCTGCGCTCTCTTGGCTCGAAGATACCACCTCAGGGCTTGACCCATTGCCAGGCAACTCAAGCGTCTTGGCAGACAAGCTCCCATGCTCACTCTCCCCATCATCAGCTGGGACACCATCACCATGACCACTCTCTGGATCATGACCTTCACACTCTGACTCTTCACCTTCACCACGCTCTGACTCTTCACCTTCACCTCGCTCTGACTCTTCACCTTCACCTTGCTCTGAATCATCACCCTCATGTTCGTTACCAGCACCATCGTCATTGAGATCGCCTCCAGCAGGCTCATCATCATCGCTTCCAGTACCAGGCTTTGTGGGGCTGGCTTGCAACGCAGCCTTCAAGTCCTGCATGCGGTCACAGTACGACGATGGAGATGATCGCCACAAAGCACGCAATGCCCCAATCAGCTTCTTGCACTTGCAGGCTTCAATGCCTGCCAACTTCATTCGATCCTCGCCCTCCTTGGGGTTGGGTTGGAAGAGATTGCGATTCATCTTCCGGTCGAGCTGCAAAAAGACATCGGTCAACATGTACCCAGAAGGTACCTGCGCAAGCACTCGGGAAACAGCCCTGATTTTAAAACAATACACCAACGTGGTAAACAAAAACTAATGGGATGTGTTTCAGAAAAAACTCAGTTGAAAGAACGATCATCCCTGCAGACCTCGCATGCCTAAAACTCTGGAATGCCTTTTTGTTGGCTTAAGAAAACTGTTTGAAACTTATGTCCTTCTGTGGCGATGCCCGAACAATGGCAATGAGCCAGTGGTAGTTGGCGACTATCTCACGGGAAGTGGGCGTCCGAATCATGCGACTCTGGGACAAATCCAGCAAAGCACCACCCTTCCACCTGTCAGACTCGAGGTAAGTCCTTGTTGCAAAAGGAAGAGCATCATAGATGTCCGCGGCCAACTTGTCCTGAGCTGGAACAAAAAAGAAGCTAGAATATTTAAACATAAAAAATGGTATGGCTCGCTTAGGTGAAATACTTGGGGGATCTTGGGTGTGCAGATCAAGATTTCACTGAACATGTAGCTTTTCAAATTAAAGGACATTTAATCCCAACTGACTTGTGGTGATTGTTAACCCCAACAAAAAATATCTCCACTTGCAACCCCCGAGATGAATGCCGCTGCCTCTCTAATCCTTGATTGAAATTTGGACTTTTTTTTCGAAGGTTTTAACCCCCTATGCCAACCTCGAAAGAATAATTACGCAAAACTATCTAAATCGTAGGCTTCGTTGGGTTATCGCCAGTTCAGATGTTTTGACATCGCTCCCTGTAAAAATTTAGGGACCCAGTAACCGTCCTAACAAATGACATGTATTTTGGGCTATGTCAAGGGTTAACTTCGTCAAAGGTCCATTTGATGCCACGACCTGGACCTGGGTGTGTGAATTTGATGGTCAATGCATGCATCTACACACAGGGTGGTGAAGTTTGAGAGGAATCTGAAAATCAGATGCGAACAAAGTGGACTCATATATATAAATAAAGAATATATATACTATATATATATAATGTTTAGATAGATAGATAGATAGATAGATAGATAGATAGATACATAGATAGATACATAGATAGATAGATAGATAGATACATAGATACATAGATAGATAGATACATAGATACATAGATACATAGATAGATAGATAGATACATACATAGATACATAGATACATAGAAAGATAGATAGATAGATAGACAGACAGACAGATAGATAGATGTTTGGAAATAGTAAGTAGGCTATAAAGACGTGCCTGTATATCATGCCGGTATGTTTTGAGATAGGCATTTACATATCGATATATATATATATTATATATATATATACATATAAGCATCTACATTCACACACCCACACATATATATATATACATATGTACTGATAAATATATGTATATATATAATATATATATATAAGATCAGTAGGTTGGCGACTGTGACAAACAGCCATCAATGTACCCTGGGGGTTGGACGCACAGATCTCCACGGCAGGGGATCTTGCGGCGAGCCCGCTACTGGCACCACCGCTTCGAGGTCAGCCATCCGGGGCAGCGGGTAGCACAAGTTCAACCAGCGCTTCAGCCAAAAAAAAGCCCTTTTGCAAAAGAGGTTGCTTCAAGTTTCAAGTTTGGAAACTTCTCTCTCTCTCTCTCTCTCTCTCTGGATTCCAACCCATCGCTGATTTCTAAATTCACCCGACAAAAACTACAATGGTGATCAATGATCAATGATGTTTACTATTTTCCAAACCTGTTCCACACATCCCTCCTGGACCCAACCCATGGAGTGGGCACACGTCTTCGCATGATCTCTGCCACAGGCATTGCAACGGAGTGGCCGGCAACAGCGGTGACCAGTGGGGAGGCAGTGTTGAGGTGGATACTAGAATGTCCAATATTGAAAACAATGTTGATAGAAACCCACTTTAGTTTCTTTCAAGGGTTCCATTTACATAACATCATCTTGAAACATCCATGCGTAAACAACATGCAGTTTGTGTCGGGAAACGTAGTTGCTGCCCACAAAGATCTGACATGGTCCTTTGGCATCGCTCACTTGAACTCTCACATAATTTGCCTGGGTACAAGATCCCAAAAAACAATGCGAACAATTTACTGGAATTTTGAGAATGCCAGGCGAGAATAGAGATGCCATCACGGCACAAAACCAAAAAAAACAGGTGAAGAGTTTAGAACTCCCCACTGTGGACAAATGGCTGGTGCGAATAGACATGTCATTGCGAAACTTGGTGCGTCAACAGAAGAAAAGAATGGGTCCTCAAAATAAAGATACTGGATTCACCGCATTCAATTCCCCTGACAGTAAATATCACTTCAACATCCCTGGTTTACTATATCCAGATTCACTTTGGGGGCCCATATTCATAATATGAGGTGGTGTCCTTAATGATAGGGGATTGGATTCACATACTGTGTGTTTTCGATATTATGACGCAGCAAGGATCCAGGAAGCTTGTGTTTCACCACAACATATCCACCTGTTGAAAAAATGAGCGCCACCTGTGTGCCATGGAAAGGCGCCATGGAACAAAAAATCTAGGTCCCATTGGGGCTTTGGGTCTGGAAACCAATTTTTCTTCTTTCACTGCTCTTTAAGAGCAAGTCGCCGCCAAAACTTAGACATGTAAATTGATGGGTCCCCAATCCACGTTAAAACATGTTAAACCACCGAAAACATGGGTGTGATTTTGAACATACAATTTTGTTTAAGGTACCAGAGTCTAGCTTGATCCATGACAAGGGCCTATAGTAAATATCCAAAGTGCTGTGCCTGCCACACAAAGTGCGTTTCAGTACAGTCTGCGCTGTTTGTTGGCACTCTCTGGGCCAAGCCAAAACACCAGCAGAACTAAACTACCCCATGTTCACATGATTGCCCAGCTGCTTGACTAGGGGCAGCCAAGCCCTCAGTCTAGCATGACATCTTAGAAAGCTATGCTTCCCAACCTGGCCAACAAACGGCAAGGTTTTTTACAAACGGGATGTGGCGCTGTCTTTTGCAGAAACGATGTGCAAAGCACAGGGTTGGATGCTCTAGGTAGGTGGCGGTGTCGGTGGTGTAGGATTCGGTGGAAGTTCATCTTGTTGAAGAAGGAGTTGACGTTGTTCTTGTGCTCGTTGAGAATCCATGATCAATTGTTGCTGAGCTTGAATAAGTCGAA